ACAGCAGCTTGGCCGGAATATATTGTTATGTTGAGCGGGCTCGATTTAATCTCTAGTAGACCAAAGGCGTGTAACCAAAATGGGGTATATTGATTACAGAAGCATATAGGCATGAAGCCATCCTGACTTCCTACATCGCTTAGGTTATGTTTGATACGAGTGCACGGCGGCTATAATCCCCGGGAGAGGTAGCAGACTTCGGTAACCGCGACGGTCACTAAAGATGTGTCAACATTGTTATTCACAATGTTGATAAGGACACGCTGCCGTCGTGCATATCAACGACAGCGGAGGGTAGAAGAGCCGGAGTCGGAGTCAAAGAGAACGGAGGGAGAGGAGCCAGCTACGTCGTGGATATCAACGAGAGCTGAGGGTAGAAGGACCGGAGTGGCAGTCAAAGGGAGCGGAGAGAAAGGAGCCAGCTACGTCGTGGACATCAACGAGAGCCGGCTTACCTTCCCCGGCGCCGCCCGGACCACCACTGACCCACCGCCGACCCCGACCCCAGGCGTGACCTACTCCCCGGCCTGTGATTGGTCGGGTCACGTGACCACGTAGCTTCGGGAACAGACGCGAAAATAAAAGGTCTCCTTACAAAAGAAGAGCAGCCGCTGTTGAGATTTGAACCCAACACGAAATTCAAACACGCTCGCAACGCAGGCGCGCTAAGCCACTGCGCCACCAGGACGACGATCACGTTGGTAGGCTAGAAGGCAACTTATCACGTACACAACAACATATATATATATATATATATATATATATATATATATATATATATATATATATATATACATAGGCGCCCGTCACCCGTCGGCGACAGCGAGAGCACGCCGCGTTTGCCGCTGCCAGGCTCCATGTGCGACCCTGCTGTTTATGTTCCGGCTGAATTTGGTTATTCCAAGATTTCTTTGTCCTGACAATTGTATACACACACACACACACACACACACACACACATATATATATATATATATATATATATATATATATATATATATATATATATATAGTGATGACCAGCGCCCATAACCATACTCATTTACTACGACAACCAACACGAACATCACACGAAACAAATCCTATTCATGGCAGCATTATTATGCTGACGACCCGAAAAAAATAGACCCAGAAATCGCCGGGCCGAGAACAGTTCAATCCGTGACCCAGAAAACATGATTTCCTTCCCTTGTTATCCGCGCCGACAGTGGCCAGGCCCCGGCCGTCATATGCAAGAACAAGGCCCGTCACTAAGCCTGACCTCTCACCGCGATCAGGGTCACCACCATCCGGTGACCACTGATCGCGGTCGGGGTCACCACCATCCGGTGACCACTGATCGCGATCAGGGTCACCACCATCCGGTGACCACTGATCGCGATCAGGGTCACCCACCATCCGGTGACCACTGATCGCGGTCGGGGTCACCACCATCCGGTGACCACTGATCGCGGTCAGGGTCACCACCATCCGCCGAGCCCGGCTGGCGCTCGACCCTCGCGTGTGGGCATTGTGTACTGGTCCCAGCCATTGAGCCGGTTCTTACGTAACGGCCGCTGAGCGATGGGAATGGTGGGAATGGAGCGAAACGGGAGAGGAGAGAGAATAGTGTGTGGAAAGACGACCGAACGGGAAGAGTGGGAAGGGACAGAGAACGAGACGGAGAGAGGGCGAAAAATAACGGATGTGACGGAGGGGGGGAGGGGGGTGGGGGGGTGGAAGCGAAGCCTTCATTTGTCTTCCCTTTGGTGGCTGCTGTGTGCGTCATTGAAAATTCTGTTCGTTAACAACAAACACCAAAAACAAGGCTCACAGTAATGAATAAATAGGAGATTTATGGTCCAGAACGGACAGATCTGAAGAGCGTAGTTTTGCATGCGATCAAAGTGCTCAGATGGTGCAAAGCATGCACTTAAAGTCTCAGATCATATCAGAAGGGCGCATGCATTTAAATACGGACGTACAAATCACAAAACAAGTTTACAAGCATGACCGGTTCACCGACCACAGTTTTGATTATAGGAAGTGTTCCACATGTTTGCGGGGTTTTGAACTGAAATAGTCATCTGGGAGATCATCTGGTACAGACCACAGCCCTACACTTCTGAAGACCTGAACTCTTCTATTTCCTGAGCTTCACGCCCGCGAAGGTCAGCAGACCTTTTCGGGGAGGCTATTTTAAAGTCACCAAGGCATCCATGACGCCATAATAGCGTTATTCGAATTCTGCCATTCCGTTGGCCATGCGGTCATCAAGGCGAAGACAAATATAATTGTCAAGTCGTTTATATACGACGTTCGTGAGCCCGATTCCCGAATACAAATCCCGTCAATTGGCTCTCAATCAAAGCTGTACATTGTACGATGACGTAATCAAGCAAACATATTGAGAAGCATATTGACGAAACAGAGAAATTGTGTTGTCTGGAGCAACCGATTCTGCCTAAAAGTATGCCAATATTCATCAGTGAGTGTTTTCATCACATCTGACCCTTGTTTCAGTACATTCAAATGTGGTGCATTCCCTTTTAACTGAAATTTAACAACCATCAACTGTGAAAATCGGGGGCGAGGAACCGCGGCCAAGCGACTGCGTCACAAGCAAGTAGCACAGTTACATAACAACGAATGATGGCAGCGTTCAGCGGGTAAGGCGACATGAATCCGCAGCCCAAAAGGCCACGTCGGCCGACCATTAGGGCGCACGTCAGTGGTGCAGCGGACCACCCGGGTCCCCGGAGGAATGCAGTAGCTTAATGATCAAGGCAAAGAGGACGTCTTCCATGACCTGGCTTATGTAACGGCCCCTGTTCAGTGTGAACGCGGACGAGTTTTGAATGTCAGCAAGGGCGGCACGGCGCCGGCGCCAGGAGCTCCGCCAAGAACGGTACCGTGGACACCTTTGGAATACTCACGCGCTGGTTGTGAGGGGCTTAAGGAGATCTGTGGGATATTGCGTCGCAACGGTTGACGTTTGGTTACGGTTAGATGAACAATTTAAAACCTGCAAGAAACGCAAGTTAACTTTCTTTACGAAAGACAAACAGTAAATATTAAATAAGTTCGATAGCAGAGGATAAAGAAATCCAAATACTACACTCCTGCAGACAATTAACTCACGTTGCTTCTTTTCCAATTTCGTTACAATTCTTTTCTATTCCAATATTCCAACCATGATGCATTTTTACACGCAACTTGGAAGTAAAGCAGGAAAAGAAACACAGAGAGGCATCGGAATGCATCGAAAAACGAGAAGTTCAAACCAGCACAATCGGCCTGTTCTCGCAGCTGAGATGAATGTCTGCCGTAATGAACCCCTGTGACGGATAACTGTAAGATGAATGTGAAAACTGCCGTGATAAATTCTGTACATGTGGGGTAATTGCCACTCGCATTCCATTCACTGTTCTCATGTGTGTCGAATTACATTAAACGCAGGTGAAACGTGGCACAAAAGGGGTACAAAACAGTTGTATTGCCGGCGCAAAGGCTAAGAAGGGCTTGTTTCCAATTCAGGCACGCGCCAGGGTTAAGAGAAAAATACGAAATAACTTGGCGCGTGACAATTTATCCAAAAACCATGAAATACCCCACATATCGTGGCTCTGAGCAAAGAAGGGCAATAAACTACACTGTTTGATAATGTTATCACATTTCCAAAACAGTGTATTCCCTGTTGGAAACGTGTTAATGTCTATCCATGCATCAATGTCCTTAATGACGACTGGCATTCCAAAAGTCAAGCACGTGACACAGCCAAGTATTATGCTATGATGTTACAGCCTAAGTTCTGCATCGACCAAAAGCAAATAGGCCAGTAGCAGAAAATTAAATAAACAAACCGTCGCACAAGCCATCCAGTGAAAGCTAACAGTAACCGTCGCTGCTCTCCGCCGCCGGCCGCGGCTTTGTGCGTGATCCGATCCGAAGCCATAGCCTCGCGCGAGGGCAGTTACGTAAGGGGAAGCTGCGCCGGTGTTACGCAATGGCTGGCTTCGGCGTCAATGACGCCGCTATCGGCGCGGTAAACACGGCCGGACGGCGGCGATGGCGGCGCGCGCGAGACGAAATGGCAGAGACGCAGCCTCGGGCGCCGCGGACGCCAGCAGACACCACAAGAGCCAGGTGACGCGACTACCAACCAGCTCGCGCAGAGGGGGCCGCTCGGGGCAGGGGGCATTCACTGATTTGTGACCAGGCGCGCAGCACATACCGGCAATGAGAGCAGACAAAAAGCTGCTGCGCATGCGTATACAGGCGTCGCGATCCGTGGTCACAGACACATCTCCAGGAAACACGAAGGCGGCCGGTCAGCTCCGGTGTAGAGAGCATTCTGATAGCCATCTCATGAACGAAAGCGGCAGGGGAAGATGAAAGTGACGCCATCGCAGTAGGGTGAAACCATGGAAACGTCAAGAATGCCACGATTTACAACTTGAAAAATGGGATAATATATCACCTCAGCATCACATATTTTTCATTACAGCCCTGTCGTCTCGATCTCTTGCGCAACCGCGTCTATTAATACCTCATGGCCATTTCTGGTGCTTTTGCGAGCACGCGCCCGCTCCCTTCGCTCGACAACGTTTTTTATATCTCATGGGCCTCTCCTCACAAACATACTGACTCGATCGTTCCGATGATTTGTATCTGGCATTTAAACTGACCTTTAAACTGACCAGTCTTCCCTTTCCACCCCTGCCTATACCTCCAGACTGACTTGTCGGCAGCAGTCACCTCTGCCTGACCTCCAGACTGACCCGTCTGCCGCAGTGACCTCTGTCTGGTCTCTACACTGACCTGTCTGCCGCGGCGATCTCTGTCTGACCTCCAGAGCGACTTGTTTGCCGCAGTGACCTCTGTCTGATCTCAAAACTGACCCGTCTGCCGCAGTGACCACTGTCTGACCTCAAAACTGACCCGTCTGCCGCAGTGATCTCTGTCTGGTCTCCACACTGACCTGTCTGCCGCAGTGACCTCTGTCTGACCTCAAAACTGACCTGTCTGCCACGCTGGATGGCCGCCTCAATCACGCGCTTGGCGTCCTGGAAGTACAGTTCGGCGGCGTCTTCCTTGCCGGCGTGCGGCCCCCGGTACATGTCAGGCATTGGCACCACGTGCACCCACTCCTTGGGCTCTGAGGGGCGGCCAGGGCGGGTCAGAGCGGGGCACCGAGAGGGACACGCCTTGACCTTGGTTGGAGTGCTCAGGGAAGCGTCAGAGTACGGGCACCGTAGTTGTTAATGCTGACTACATATGGGTTCACGACTAATTTTGCACAAACATTGTCCGGCGGTGTACATAGTCTGAGGGCCCTCAAAGAGCTGAAATATATCGATGCCATAAACCCCTTGGATGATTATGGGAATCCCCAGTCGCTGGGATCCTTGTGCGGTGGACTTAACACAAGTAAAGCGAGAACAGCGGCCTTGGGAGACATAGCTAAACGCGATTTAGGAAGGGCATTAGCCATTTAGCTGGGGTAACTCGATTACGGGAAAATTGCAAGTGGTGAACCGCCTTGTCGCAAATAGTGCGCTGTATAGGTCAGCTCGCGGAATAATAACAACAAATGTGAAAAAGGCGCTTCCATGACAAAAAGGAAGTTGATGTCCTGCCTACAAAGGTAATATACCTGCAGTGGATATTCGGAGAAGCCGCTCGCCGAGAAAATCGGTCGCTCGTAAGCACTGCAGCCAAGTTTCAAGTGACCCTGCTGTGCATATCTAAAATATTCAAATAAAAGACACAGTGTCTTCATCAGCGTCGTAAAGCGTCATCTGGTGACATCTCAACACAGAAAGAAAGGCAGCAAAACAAGATGCCGAAAACTGAGAATGAGCTTTCCTTGAAACCTTGAGCCTCGAAACCCAGCGAGGACAAAGCTTTTGGGATCGATGACGCGAGCTATTTTTCAAATCACTCTTCAGAAGTTTGGGCCAAGCGGAGCTGCCGCACAGCAAACAAGGCGACTGTTGGTACGGAAGTCCGGTACCGGCGAAAGCCTCCGGAAAGAGGTTCTGGAAAAAGGCTCCGCAGAAAGGCACGGTCTGTGCAGCTGTATCGAGAGCAGGAATCACTGAAAGTTCCAAAGCCTGCACAAGCGCCATGATCGCGACACCACTCAGAAAAAAAGCTGCCTGTCGCGGGAAGCAAGGGTAATAGCCGCGAGCCACAACAACGAAGACGTTTCTGGCGGGATGTTTCGACACACCGCGGGAAGTGCGGCATGAAGCAGCCGTCGAGGTTAATCGCGCACGTGGGAAAAGTCTGTCGTGGTGACAGCGGCGACGCCCGGTCATCGAGAAATTCTGGGGAGGTCTGAAGGCGAACAGGTATAAGGATGGGTGCAGAGCCCAGAGTAGTCGAGACGTTCTAGGGAAGGTCAAAGGCCGATAGGTATAAGGATGAGTGGAGACCCCGGGGTAATCGTGAAATTCTGGGGAAACCTGACGGCCAAGAGGAATAGGAATGGGTGAAGACCCCAGCTTAAACATTAAAACTCCGGACAAAAATCGCCAAAAAATTTACGAGATTCTGCCGGAGGGCGTCAAGCAGAGGCGAACGCAGGGCGTCGCATTGGGGGAAGTGACACGACTGAAGTAGAACCACTAAAATCCCAGGCTAGTACACCGGGGGCGTGCTAGGTATCTCCCGTAGTGTAAACCCACATGATATGTTCTCCTTTTAGCTAGGTTTAACTGTCCGCCTGAATTTTGTAATTGTCAAGCTGTACTCACACACATATTAAGGCACGCACGACACTTGACAAGGAGGAGGCACATGCCTCTGGGGCCACAACGAGCGCACACTCCTGATGACGTTAACTGATAGGATACGTGGAGACGACCGTCCGCCACGTGTTGGAAGGAGGACACCTGGCTCTCCTTCAAGTCTTTCGTGACGCTCACCGTCAGTGCTCATTTTTTACTTTGCTTTTCATCTTTGTAAGTCGTTGGACAGGAAAACACAAGCGTTTGAGTCACATGCCAACGTTGTGCACCTTTGAGATATGGTTCTAGTATTCAGGTGTGATTTTTGTCTCTAAAATAGTACTTAAAAGAATAATGTGTGTTAACAATTGCAACAATCCAAAACAAGCGACGAAAATAACCAGAAGTTTTAGAAACATGAAGGCAGGATAAGACATCAAATTGCACACAACTCACGACCACCTCAACACGATGACGAGTGGCTTCTGCCGCCGAGCCACTGGTTGGGCGTGTTTGAGCTGCCTTACAGGCCAACGTGAGGTGGGGCTTTCCACTTTCGAGGTGCTCAGGCAGACGGATGGGCCTAATGTCCCATCGCATCAGTATGCAGCGGCGGTATTGACCACCACTGCGTACTGGTACAACCCAGCTCAGCCACCGCTGTATGCTGATGTAACCCGGCTCAGCCACCGTCGCATACAGGTACAACCCAGCTCAGCCACCGCTGTATACTGGTGTAACCCGGCTGAGCCACCGTCGCATACTGGTACAACCCAGCTCAACCACCGCTGTATGCCGGTACAGCCCAACTCAGCCGCCGTCGCACACTGGTACAACCCAGCTCAACCACCGCTGTATGCCGGTACTACCCAGCTCAGCCACCGCTGTATTCTGGTACAACCCAGCTCAGCCACCGCTGCATACTGGTACAACCCAGCTCAGCCACCGTCGCATACTGGTACAACCCAGTTCTGCCACCGCTGTACACTGGTACTACCACCTCAGCTATACCAACAATGGAACGAGCTTGCCTCAGAATAGACAGCCGCAGTCGAAGAGCGTGCAACAGCTATCACAGCTCGTGAAGCAGCGCATCCTTAACGGCGATCCGTGTGAGTTCCGTGCCTTCAGGAAAGGAAGAACAAAACTGTCGTACTGGCGGAACTGTTTTCGGTTACAGAAATCGTCCTTAGTAAAAGTAGATGCAGTCGACTGCTCATGCTACAAAGACTGAAGAGTTTCCTTCTGGCCGCCACACATTTCAAAGCATGCGTACTTTGATGAAGCGCAGCATATGTGGCGCACATTTCAAATCGTGTGCAGCATGATGAAATGCAATCCTCTGGTGCATATTTCACAGCCGGGTGTACGTTAATGAAGTGCGGCATATGTGGCGCGCGTCACATCAGACTAGTGTTTCTCCGGACCACTCAGCTACCGTTATCACACGGAGCGTTCGAGCACTTTATGTTGCCCTGCAGACCAGCACGAAGCACTTTATGTTGCCCTGCAGACCAGCACGAAGAGCAAAATCAAGGACAGGAAACGGTGCGACGGCTGAGTGGTGACGGTGACGGCTTTCAAACCAGAATATCTTGGCTTTCACGTCTGCCGTTGGGAACTTTCGTCCCGGTTTTCGCCACAGTGCAAGGAGGACAGTGAAGTAAACACTCACGGGCTTCCACAAACAACATGACAAGTGCTATAATGATCCGCAAACAATAACCAAGAGCATCATGGTACATCGAAATGGAGCCCAAACCAGTATACCATAGCTGGCAGCCTGATGCTAGATCCTGTCGGCCGGGAACAAGTCTTATCCCGTTTTTGGTACTATGTTGGCATACCTCGAGAATGCAAATTATTGCCCCTATCAAAATCATTAACACGAATTACGGTTTTGCACTCAGTCGAGTCATCTAATATTCCTGGAAGCTTTACTTTTTATTCTGGAAGCTTTACTCACCCATGGTCACGCATCGGTACTAAAACATTCGGTAAACTTTTGAATGATCTATTTCGAGCAATGTTGCCAATAAATCATACCGACAAGAATGCACAACGGCAGTGAACGTTGTCTCACGACACGCTAATCGTTGTTTGCACGCTCGAGTTTTGTAATCCGATTTTTGACGCGTCTCTTGCCTACATGAGATAAAGGGCTAGATATAACTTTTGAGAGTGGATAGAGGAAGTATCCGAAACATTACACCACGAATATAAAAGTATGACACGTCTTCTAATAAGCTTCTTTTTAAAGGGTCTGGTCGAATTCCAATTTGTCATTTTGCACGTGGGATTGAAGGGCATTGCGATTTACCTGAACTGGTATGACTTGTTTCAACAAGTTCGCTTCCCTTGTGCTCGCAGCACAAGGTTATCAGATCAACCCAAACGTTTTTCACCACTAATCCGGCGGAAATGTCAGAGGCGTCAGCGAATGACCTTCCGATGAGGGAGCTCGTCAGCACTGACAGCAAACTTCGAACATTCCGACTGCGGCCATTGTGCAAACGCGTATCGGTTTGCAGTGAGCATAGAAGTTCTGAGAAGAGGCGTAAGTACCACGGATGAAATCATTGTTTCGACTGTCGTCCTCGTCTGGTGTGTTAGTTTGTGTAAAGTAAAACACCAGACGAGGGCAATAGTCCAAACAATCATCCCATCTGGCACGCATTTGCTAACATCGACTTTGAAGTGCGCGCCGCAGCTGGGCCAGAATAATCCCGAACGTCTATTTTTCGTAGTATTTGGCACTGCGAACACGAGCCATTATCGCAGATTCAGAGAAGAATATGCAGATATCGCAGAAGTTGAAACCAAGTTATATTTTAATGGTACTGTAAAACTTTTATTAAAACAATAATATTTTCAATCAACGCAAATCATGGTATCATACTAGAACCGTGACAGCAAGCTGCGAAATTCATAAAATGATGGAAGCTTCCCTAACGAATGGCAATCAAACATATATTGATTTAACTAGCATATGCTTGTGTATATCAAAAAATAATTACAAAATTCTAAGAAATGCTTTGCATGTTAAAGCATGCGACAAGTCACGTGACAGGTCATTCAGTTTTTATTCATTACCAGCGGCAGCCAATATCTAATTTAGTTAAAAGTTCTTGAAGTGGATAATATATATTCTTCAACGTTCAAGAAGATGCATTATATGTAGTCAACTTAAAACAGTGGAACATTGATGCAGATAGTGTGTTATGAGGACTTGCCATCGGGACTAATATCGATGACTTGGTCAAAATATCTGCAGGGTGTTTTTTTTTTAAAGAACGACATAACTAGACACGCTCCTTTATTCTAACAAACAATATCAATAGAAACGTTCGATCGATAGACCGAGAAACTTAACCGAAAACTATCAAAACCGCAAAATGTTGTTCTCTTTATCGGCCTATACATCCGCGAAAAATTATTGCCGACATTCCTATTCGTGTCTCTTATTTTCGTAGTCGTTTCTGGGGGCAGTCTTTAATAAAATGGGGGAATGATGACATTTTCGCCCATGCGTACTTAATCGACTTTTACAGTGAGCATCCGCCACGCACCAAACCTCAAGCAGCCGCCGAGTTCGCTGGAGAGGACGGCCTCGCTACCCACCCTGCTCCTTGCGCTTCAGCTCGCGGGGCGACAGCTCGATGGTGGTGCTGAGGCAGCCGTGGAAGCAGTTGTCGACAACGACCACGTCCTGGCGGCCGGTGGCGCCGCGGGCCAGCTGCAGCGAAAGGTCGATTGCCTCCGATCTGTCCGGGACACAGAGCATGTCACCGAGCGGTGCAAGGCGGCAGTGCGTTTCTTTGAAAGGCACGTGCTCGTTAGGTGTTTCTTTGGAAGGCATGTAGCCATTATCGTTATGAAATTCTTCCGTGGATCGCCGGCCGTTTCGACGCTCAGTGGCCGTGGCCGTCTGTCGGGGATCCAATATGGGGCTACCACGTGGGGTCCGAAGTCCTCTCAACAGAACATGGGGCTACGCGTGGGGGTCCGAAGTTCTCTCAACAGAACATGGGGCTACACGTGGGGTCCGAAGTCCTCTCAACAGAACTATTTAGCCAGAGGCGGAAACCCTGCAGCTGGGCTGTGTTGATGGAATTTTTAATTACAAGTGACATAACATTCGGCGAAAGGTTGCCATTAGGAAGAGGGGGAGGGGGGGGGGAATGCCGGGGAAGAACTAACTTATAAAGAGTACAGTGGCTGGAACGCGTAGCCATTTTCCGCTATTGTTTATCCAAACCCGAGTTCAAGGGGACAGCGGTTAAAACTTGAAAGAGAAGCGGGGCAGTGTTTGCCGAGAGCGGCGCTTGGGCGAAGAGGACTCAAACCATACGGAATTAGGTACAGGGATGTCTTAAATCTAATCTTGGGGATGAATAGGCTGGTACATAAAACTTGAGCATGGGTGGGGGCAGCAGCTGTTACAACCGGGCTTCAGGCAGCAACGAAGAAGGTACGAGAGTGTGGGAGAGCGCGGGAGTGTAACCAGCTGCATTCCTCTCGCCCTCACGCTGTCAGGTGCTCTCACCCGGTAGACGTGAAGAGGGCCGTGTCAAAGCCTGCCGGGCATGTGGCCAGCAGCCGGCCCGGGTACTCGGCCAGGTCAGAGGTCAGCGAGAGGTCACGGAAGGCCGTGAACAGCGAGCCGACGTGACTACGGGAAGCAGCCACCAGCGCCGGGTGACAGTGGCCCACTGTGGGATGGCGGGGGCGGGGTCAGAGATCAGGCGCCGAAGAACGATCGACAGAGACTCACCGCAAGGGGGGGGGGGCGTGCTCGTTTAACACGTGGAGCCCGAAAGGCTCGCAGACGACACACGATGGAGACAGGAACAGAGACACGGAAGTACGCATGGAACATGAAAACATTTCTTTGTGGAGAGATCACCCCGAAGATCACGTCGGGCGCTTGTAAAAGGCTGGCTAGTTAAGAAGTCCGTTTGATAGCATACAAAACGCACGTATTAAGCCAAAAATAGCAAGCCAACACACCCCAAAACCCATGTCATCACACTTAACGGACTGGTAAGACTGTCGAGCTCGTTTTGAGGTGGGCATGCTGGTGATTACGTAAGGCAGTTTTTTTTAGCTTTTCGGCTTTAGTGGGCCAGAATTCTAGTCACCTTGGAGCTTGGCGCTTTTCTCCACCAGTTAAACTGGAAAATTTAGGTGTAAAAGTTAGCACACTGGAACGGCATTCCACAGATCCGGGTTCGAGTCCTGATAGGTGGACCCCAATTTTTCAGCACTGTCTGCCTGATTATATCGCCAAGCTGCAGAGCGGCTAGAGAATTCTAACCCAACAGAGCTGGACTAGCTGAAAAACAGCTTAACACAATGTTTAAAAAAAACGTTATAAATGTCGAGTTTTGTCGTTTGGAATAAAACATTAATAATGGTGTCATTGTCCTGAGGAGGTTGGCTAAACAAACCACGTGCTCATAGAACAAGAAGCCTCGCCAGGCTCGGTTATTACACGTGGGAGTAATAGACGCGAGGTCTTGCGATCATTACGAAATCAAAGGCGTCAGTCTGAAGCTATGGCCAAGGAAGCGTGAAGTTAGTCTGAAGTTATGGCTAAGTCAGCGTGAAGTTAGTCTGAAGTCTGGCGAATTGAAGTCATCGGTGAGTTGAGTTTTGCGCATCAAGCTGAGGTGATGAAGTTCGTAAAGCTGGCTTGCCGTGGAGCAACGCAGGCCATCTCGCACGCGCGCTTGATATCACGCGCATGCAAAGTTGAGCGTTTTTAACGCCTTACGCATTTCTCTGCGAGCCACCATTGTAGCCAGCCAGCCGCTGACGGACCGGTGAGATGGCCAGGCCGCTAACGAGGATTACGCTGACGCTGACGGACCGGTGAGATGACCAGACCGCTAACGAACATTACGTTGACGCCGACGGACCGGTGAGATGACCAGACCGCTAACGAACATTACGCTGACACTGACGGAACAGTGAGATGACCAGGCCGCTAACGAGGACTGCTAACGCAGGACGGAGGGGGGGAGAGGCGGGGGGGGGGGGGGAGTAATGACGCACGCGGGTCGGCCCGACAGGAATTCCATTGACTTTTGTTTCACAGGATACAGCGACCTTCTGTTGGAGGCGATGGCGGAGGGGAAAGCCCCAGCCCATCACGCACGAGCGTACGCTGTTTTGCTCTAATATGAGATCGGGGCAGGCAGGATTATGGGCGTGGTATTGGATAGGGCGGATGGGGTGTCGTTGGACAGGAACGCAGCTCGAAACAGTGCTGCGATCAGAAACTCGAAAGGTGTTCGATTTTTTTGGATACGCTCGAACGATTCGGAGACGCAATCCCATGTCGTTGATTATCAAAATGGTGGTAGCTTACTCGAAATGACACATCACAAGCATGCGATGTTCAGGCAGAAAAAAACGACACGTGGCACAGATATCGGAGTCAAACAGGCCAGAATGATGTGGTGTGAGTTCGCGTGGCATAAGACTTTGAAGCACACAGCTGCACTTCCTGCGCGTGATACACAGGTGCTGACTCCGTTAAAATCCACATTCCGAATTGATTTCACAGATGCATTAGACACGGACGCGCACACGTCAATGAAAAAGCAACAGCAAGGAAGCTTGACCTTTGCTTTGAAAAACAATTTCTTCGAACTCTGGCTGTCACTCAAGCCTGAACAAATACGAGTCAGACAAGGATTTATAATTATGCAAATCTAGGACTCGGATTCAGATTCACGAGCTATGACGACGAACGACTAGAACTCGTTATCTTATCCCCACAAAAAACAACGAACTCGGGGATGAAACTCGAGACATAAGGACTCCGAAGCATACTCAGAACTGCGACAGGTACTCAAAATTGTGCCACATATTCCGGTGTTTGAGATCCACGCATAATACGGCGCGTTTTTCATAATCAAAATGTCCTGATATAGTAATTACGTCCATTTTCCGTTATCAAAGAAACTCATGTCTGCACTGCTCGCCATTTAAACAGTTGCAGTATGCAACTGCACATCTGATGCAAAGCACATTTTAACAACTTTTAAGACCAGATTGATCTATGTAATTTATTCCCAGTGTTAGTGCAGCAGCACCGGTGCTGGAGCGCGACACATAGTGCCAGCGGGCCTTGCGGGTGATTTATGCAACCCACAGCCGACGGACGCGAACATTACCGGGCAGCTGAAGCACCAGCACACAACTCTGGACGGCATATCCACATCACAAACATTCACCCGCACTGAACAATGTCAAGTTTGTTTGAAATACGAGCATCGGGATAGAGTGGCTCCCAACATGTGGTCACATCGTGCGCATGCAAGGATCAGTGGGCGCGCCGAAACGGTCTGAAGTGCTCGACCCGCCCCTCCGCAGCTCGGCGCGTGTTACGTAACCCGAGTCTGCTCAGTCGCATCTTACGTCACAAGGGCCTCGAGCCCGTGCTACCATAAACCAGCAGCCTTGATCCATTCGTTGAGCACAAGCTCTCAGTAGCCCCTCCCCCCCCCCCCCCCCCATCGCCAAAGCTGCGTGCTCAGCCGGTACACGCCCGCCAGCTTGGAGGACTCACTCCCCGTCTAGATTATGACTTACGACCGATACTGCTGGAAAGACCACACGTAAGGCTGTCGTAAACCCAGAACATTGTGTCTGGTAGGTCACATGCTTGCATACAACCGCGATCGGCTGGGACGTATCTCCCTCCCGCTGCGGCATCCCCCGCCAGGAACATACGTCATCAGTTCGAAAGCACCGGCGGTCGGTACCAGGTCAGTACCGGTGGTACGTGGCGGTGCCGAGGCCGGCAGTACCTCAGACTTCACCGGTACGTAACCAGCAAATGCTGGCCCGTACTGAACGCATTCGAGGCTGGTGCCAGCGTTGGTGCCAAGGCGGTCACACTGGCTATTCGTCGGAGCCTCCGCACCTGTCTGCCGGCCAACTGGACGAGCCGGTACGGCGCCAGCATCAAAGCTTTTACATCTGGCATCGCTTCTGGGGATGTCCGCAGCCTGTGACACCAATGGCGACCCCAAGACTCGTCTCACTTCTATATCCCGGCGTTCCGTAGTGCTGCAGACCCCCCAACGCATTATCTCTAAATCCTGAACCTGATCCGTTCGATTCAAATGCCGTGTTTTTCCGTTCGTGTGTATATATATATATATATATATATATATATATATATAATATATATATATAATCTAATTATTTCAAGCCGTGGTGCCGGGTAGATTGGAATTCAACACTACCTGTGAATTAGTGAAGCCCTTCGAAAGTCGCATGACAGCCGAGTATGGCGCCTGGCCAATCAGATAACGAATCGCTTTGTTGACCTTCCACGCCCACTGATTTGCTCCTAATGTGTGATGGCTGAAACCCGTTTTGTTTGGGCTCAGTGGAATGCTTACTTTATTTTCTGTTTCTTAAACGCCTTTGGTTTGCACATGGCCTAAAGGCCATAATGCATCACCACCAAAACAGCATATGGTGGTATCACTTCTGAGTGGGCGCAACAAGAGACGCGAGTTCCCTGTTGCCATGGTAACTCGCAACGGCGAAGCAATCACCGAACCCTGTCAGCGACGGTAAATCCCGGATATCACAGCAATGCCATATCTGATGAGCTACGGTGGAGACTTTTCCTGCTGCCGTATGAAAATATACCACACCATGCGTGTCGATGTCTCGAGATAATTGGTGGGTGCGGGGGGGGGGGGCAAGCCTTGGAAGTATTTTATGGGACAAGTACCAAAAGCTTCTCGGACAAAGTTGGATATAGTCCACTTGTATTCTGGTTTCTGGATATCCGTGATATACATATACACACACATGTATATATATATATATATATATATATATATATATATATGCCGCAGCAATCACATGGCTCTTTGTATCAGCTCCGTATAAGCCCACGTGTTTTGCGAACCTGATGGGGTGCGGTTGCACCTCTTCCTCTCTCTTGCATAATGAAACGCGAAATTTGCGCACAATTTAAGATTCCGTTCATCTGTAATTGTTTAGTGCATATAAGCATGCATTCAAATTAAGAATGTCCACAACATAGCCGGCATTGCTTCTCGTTTACATAAAGCTTTTCGACATGCCAAAAGTGCAGTCGATGAAACATGTGCATTTCAGTTTACGTAAAATAAAACATAAGCACCGATCCACACATTTCCATTCCTCCACGCATTTCAGAAAAGGGCTTGTAACCTTTTTCCAAAGCGCATAGGCACATGCCCTCCACTTGATCTTTACCCTTCCCCGCTCACTTGAGCAAACACGCAGCGCGAGCCAGCTGTACTGTAAGCCACCATTCCAAGCTGTTGTGCTGCTGAAGGAAAAGCGACCCTAACCTGCCTTAATACGAATGTATGGTAGTTGCCACGGCCATGTCAATGTCACGCGCAACGCAGGTTGATTGTAAAAGCGCTGCTAGTTGAATGGCTCCCCACGGACCATGTTCGTATGGGAAGATTCAACCGTTGTTCAGAACCGAGTAGTGAAACAATTACGTAAGGTAGTTTTGGGGACGCGAGCGCTCGTACCTTAGAACAAAAACCCCGATATTCTCCGCTGCAGCCTGCGTAGGCGGCGCGGCTTCGGCCCCTGCTGATTGGCGGTGGCCGGTGAGCGGACGAAAACGGCAGCGTTTCGGAAGTAAATACCTTTGAACGCTTCAACAAGACCATTCGGGCGCATAAGAGGTAGTCCGGGAGCAGCTTCCACCTGCGCAATTTATGCATTATATATACATATATACATTTTGTATATATATATATATATATATATATATATATGAATTTATATGTAGAAATAGGACCGGATCAGCGCTCACAGGACTCCGAACCGGTGCCGAAAGTTGGAGGTGGAACTAGACAAGCAAATACAAAATATATCCCTTCTTGTTGCTGGCGCTCTTTTTCTGCTCAAAGGACATCTTCACAATTCTGGATGAAATATTTACACCCGTCTAATTTTTGAAAGGTATGAATTCATTTTGAAAGACTTTCGGAGGCATTCCTTCAGGACGGCTGTTCTCGCGCGTCAGGCGTGCGCCGCCCGGTGTTGGCCGCCAACGCCGCTCGGTTTGACGGAAACGGGGTTTGATGGAAACGGCAAACTCGGCCATCGGTGTTCCTGCTTCTATGACTGCGAGCACGCAGGCTGAAACGGCTGGTGCAGGCTGAGCACGCAGGAAGCGCAGCTGCCACATGTGCAGTAACCACGTCCATGACGTCACGTGACAAGGCTTCCACTGCTACACTCCATTTAACTATTGCGTAGACACCATAGACCGTCAGGCCTAGAAAGCGACAGAATATTCATAAACATGCTATTAAAAGCTCCTTGGTTGCGTGCACGTGACTAAACTGTTACTGCAAGGACTGCAAAAGCTAGCCCACAGCTCGAGTCGTGAATTAAACTGATGACGATTAAGACACCTTTAGGGCAGTGTGGCAAGGTTGAACGGTCCGACGTAGGCACCTTCAAATGCTCTCACCAGTGATTTGCACTTCAGTTTGCACTGCTGATAATACTAACAGCACGCGCTACAAATACTTACGGGCGAGCCCTGACAGGGGTCAATAGACTATCAGGATGATAGGAATTTCGGCAGGCATAATCGAGTGTTTTTTTTCAACGGTTCAGATTACAAGAACGTGAAGAGGGTCGACAAGAGCTAAGAAACGGAAAGCATGAGTTTAACCCCCATATTCACGTCGCACGATAACTTTTCTATGCTGTTCGTAATGCTGTTTACTTTTTCACGTGGCACGATAACTGCAGACACGTACTAAGAGCACGCGCTTTATTGCACGAGCAACTCACTTTATTGCACATACGTTTAAAAGCCTACCGCATGGTTTATGGGCCGTGAAAACGATCGGCCGACGCGTTTTCGCATGTCCACGTTTTCATTCGCTTGGGACAAGAGCCCTTTCGGCCAGTAAACCCTTGTCTTGGGGCTGTGGGATGAAAAAAGGAGGAGCAGTGCGGCGAGGGTCGCATGCATCTGGGAGTTTTCCGTAATCCGGACCTACCCGCACCGGGCCCCTCTTTGTTGCATGTGTGGCACTTTGGCAGAGTTTCGGCCAGGAGCCAGTTAAGCCCGCTCATGGCTGGGGCATGCAGATCGCCCCCGATAATCCGAGCGTGGCGGGGATGAAGGGTGAGGGCGCGACTGAGAGAAGAACAGCGGGTGGTCCATGATCCTAAGCGACTGGGCCTCTCACACGAACCAAGATCGCAATAGATCAAAGCTCTTCTGAGCATCCTAACCACAACAAACCAAAATCATCAACAAGCAGCCTAGTTATTTTTGTTCCGCTTGGGATAAGCACGAGGATAAACACGACGGTAAGAACACCGCACATAGGTCTGATGCGGGCCAGTCAGAGATGCTGTGCTCACCGTGCGACACACTACCTGCGCAGTCGATGTACTCGTTTCCCCTGTCGTCGTACAGGTATTGGAACTTGGCACTGGACAGCCGCAGCGGCGCCTTGTCGTAGTGAAGCAAACACGTGCTTCTGTGGGTTACCGAGAGATGGCGTTAGCTCAGTAATGTCCGAAGACAAAAGCTCTGGTGCAGCGGTTTAACGCTTGTTTTTATCACTGGCCGACGGAAGCACTTGTTACGAGCTTTCCGCCGACACGCAGGCATCAAACAGTGCTAGACATCCAGGAGACCAGCGGAGAAGAACCACGTTTTGTCATGCCCACCAATGTTTCCCTGAGGTTTGTGATAAATTTCAAACGCGTTGCGCACGTTTTTCAAATTCCAAACGCGTTACGCGAATTTCGAGCAACATAACGTCATGCTAAAATGTTTAAGCGCTCGTCACCCTTCTTGTTCCTGAAGCATGGGATTTTCGTCATTGAATTAAACAGCCGTGTTTTGGGGGGGGGGGGGGAGGGACATTCCGAATGCGAACTAGCTCATTGGAAGGTTTTTAGTGCGTTTTGTATTATTATTATTATTATTGTCATTATTCTTGTTAATTTTTTTGTTGTTGTTGCTGTTGTTGTTATTGGCTTAACGTCTTCCTGCGCCATTCTTCCACTAACGGCCGAGATAAACGGAAACTTTAAATTTTTAACGAAACGTTTAACACAGATATCCCGCTCATGAGCCGTACCAGACATAATCACAGATACAGAAAAGTGCGCACAACTTTAATGACCGCCACTGGATGTCGCCAGCAGCGCCCCGACCTTTCGAGGTGGTCAGCGGAGTCGCGCCATTCACCAAAGCCAAAGCCAAAGTTACGACTAGATGCCGGCAAGGCGCAAAAGTGTATCACGGGCGGCAGCAAGATATCTTAGACCGAAGCGACTGCATAGAGTTGGCGGCGGAGAGATCTCCAGGTACTCCGCGACGCAAAACAGGTGCGGTGATTTCGTCGCAGATTTATGGCCGTCAGCCCGCGACACATCGGGCGTGATAATTCACTCAGAAACCTATCAAGCGGAGTATGAAAGTCGCAGTGGAATACCAAAGAGGGTTCATTAAGACTCATCACGCAAGCCAGGGTTGCTTAGCGCTGGTTGCAGCCAGAAAGTAACCTCTCAGCACAGCAAGCACGCACCCGCCGGCAAGGTAGACCCAATTATGGCTACCTCATCACGCAATTCATTCCGAAGTTGAGGCACAGTTAGCAGGTTGCCGCGCAGTTCAGTGATTTGTTTGGAAGCAGCAACGTGTCAACCACCAAAGCTGATTGCATCGGTCCCCAGGGCCCGATAAACCCAGACAACTTTCACCGCCGTTGACGAACATGGCTGGCGCACGCAGGGGAGGGGGGAGGAGGAAGTTGACCTCTTACATCTTAGTTAAGGTAACCCTAGGCCAGGCCAGGTTTCAAAACACCGCCGTGAACTATAAATGGTCCTCGGCCACACCCAGTATCAAAACACCACCGTTAACTGTAAATGGCCTTAGGCCAGACCAGATATCAAAACACCACCGTGAACTATAAATGGGCCTAGGCCAGACCCGGTATCAAAACACCACCGTGAACTATAAATAGCCTTAAGTCAGACCAGGCATCAAAACACTACCGTTAACTATAAATGGGCCTGGGCCAGACCAGGCACCAAAACACCACCGTTACCTATAAACGTCGGCACGTTCTCGTGGTGGCTGATTCAGCAAAAAGGCCTTCTGGGGCGGGAGTCGAAGGCGGACCTCCCGCTCCAGAAGCCGACGACCTGAGCTCACTCACGGCAGGTTTGAGCGTCGGATGGAGAAGTTCTCTTCGGCCGAGATCTGCTCTTTGGACGATGACGTCACTGGTTCCATCTCGGCCGCTACGGCGCGCATGTAGCTGGCCGACTCCTGCATCCTGCAAAGGCGTATAAAGGCGTATAAAAAGGCGTAAGGCTTACCAAAGGCGTATAAAACATCAGACAACATGTGCTTTTACGACCCCCTCGCAAGGGACCCTAGAGCGAAGACACGACGCACTCCGTTTATCCCACGAGTTGAGAGATCCGACCGCACCTCCCACGGCCGGCGCCCAGCGAACAGCTGCAGACCAGCGCCCAGCGGACAGCTGCAGACCAGCGCCCAGCGGACAGCTGCAGACCAGCGCCTAGCGGACAGCTACAGACCAGCGCCCATCGAACGGCCGCAGACCAGCGCCCAGCGGACCGCTACAGACCAGCGCCCATCGAACAGCTGCAGACAAACGCTCAGCGGGCAGCTACAGACCAGCGCCCAGCGGACAGCTACAGACCAGCGCACATCGAACAGCTGCAGACCAGCGCCCAGCGGACAGCTACAGACTTTTCTGAGGCCGGCACCCAGTGGAGAGCTGCAGACTTCTCCGAGGCCGGAGCGCGCCGGGTACGAGAAGGACTGCAGAAGCCCGACCACCGCGGAGAATCACCCCTGAGGATCCTCGGAATCTGGGAACACTTCGCCGGTATGACATAGCTGAGTCGGCTCGGCTTCTGGGGAGGTCGACCGAGTCGCGGCCACACAATCCGCCCAGTAGCGACAGCGCTCATTGGAACATAGCGCATGCCGGCCTGACCCGAAACCGCCGTAAAGCCGTCGTTTGGGAGATCGTTGGAGGCCGTCGTTCGGGCTTTCCAACGATAGAGACTGATGACAGCGAGAACCGAGCACTGAGCGAGAGGAGAAACATGGGAGTACACCTAGTCCACCGAACCTCCACTGAGCGCCTGAACAGTCCACGTGAACCGTTCATCCGGCCCGTCCACACAACGCGAACTGTTCACCGGTCCTGCCGCCCACCGGTTGGCCTGACCTATTGCCCTGGCGTACCTGCTCACTTATCTGACCTGTTCGCATGCGCTGTCCGCGTGGCCCATCATCACGAGCTACCCACATGCCCTGTCCACCTGACCTGCCCACCTGGCCTGTACACATGCCCTGTCCACTTGACCTGCCCACCCGTGCTTTTAACCGCACCTGTTCACCTAGTCATTCCTCTGGCCTGTCCCCCTGACATATGCGCCTCCGATGCCCAATGTCTAATGTTACAGTGCCCAATGCAGACCAGCCCACCCGTGCTATATACTTCCCCTGTCCACCTGACCCGTCCACCTGGCCTGACCACATGGCCTGTTTACCTGACCTGTCCACCTGACCTGCTCACCTGACCTATCCGCCCGACCTGTCCACCTGAACTGTCCACCTGACCTGACCACATGACCTGCTCACCTGACCTGTCCACCTTACCTGACCACATGACCTGTTCACCTGACCTGTTCACCTGACCTGTTCACCTGACCTGTCCACCTGACCTGTCCACCTGACCTGTCCACCCGACCTGCTCACCTGACCTGTCCGCCCGACCTGTCCACCTGACATGTCCACCTCACCTGACCACCTGACCTGCTCACCTGACCTGTCCACCTCACCTGTCCACCTCACCTGACCACATGACCTGTTCACCTGACCTGTTTACCTGACCTGTCCACCTGACCTGCCCACCTGACCTGCTCACCTGACCTGTCCACGTGATCTGTCCACCTGACCTGCCCACCTGACCCGTCCGCCTGTACTGCCCCTTGACAGGAACTTAACAGTTCGACAGGCCGCCCGCCCTTTCTTGCGTGTCAACAAAGCGGGCGAGGAGAGGTCGCCAGGACCTGAAGCCGTCTTAGCCAGTTCGCATTCGATGTAGCACCAGTGCCTAGGCTTGTGTTCCGCCTGGTTTATCTGATTGTGGTGCAACACATGCATTACAGGATGCATCATGACAGGAACCGGTCCTCCGTAGCGCCACACAGCAACCAACCCGTATTTGTCGGGGAGTGGCTGTTGGGTCGAGTTCAAAGCAAGCCGCATTGAAGCGTTGTCGTTCGACGCTGCCCACCTTGCCACTGAGTACTGTGAAATGCTTCAGAATGCGTGCTAACTCGCATGCCAAATCAGGGATTTTCTGAGAAGAACGCTGTACTCCGCAGGCGGGATGCTGGTAGCTGTCGTGTCGACCCGCGGTGAATGCTGCAGTCCTCCGCTGCCTGCTGGTCACCCAAACAGCAGGCATCAGCGACCACTGCTTCACAGCGCCGCTACGGTTTGAACTACGGTTTGAAAGGCCATTCTAAATCCCAGAGTCACGCCACAGTCCCAAAGCGGAGGCGCGCTGGCCGCCGCGGCAGCGCTGCCACGGGTCTGGCGCTGGCGCCGCCGTGCTGGCGCTGCCGTGCTGGCGCTGCCGTGCTGGCGCTGCCGTGCTGGTGCCGCCGTACTGGTGCTACCGTACTGGTGTTGCCGTGATGGCGCTGCCGTGCTGGTGCTACCGTGCTGATGCTACCGTGCTGGCGGTGCCGCGCTGGTGCTACCGTGCTGGCGCTACTGTTACACTCGGAGCAGTGGGTGGCAGGGACAGCACGCCTCACGACCATGCGGCCACACGCCGCGCCTGCGTGGGGCTGCGCAGAACGCATGCGTGCGACGTGTGGATACATGGCATCGAGCGACTCCAGCCATCGGGCCTGTTACGGCTGGTGCCGCAGAGGATGGGAGGCTGATGGGCGCGGAGAAAACGGACACGGCGAGCAGAGGCCTATGCGACCACACGAACACGTTGGTGCTCGCGTTACATTTCTGCCAATGTTTTCCGGCGTTCCGACGGACACTTCGCTGCTCGTTATCACGGCAAACGCGCGGGTTCTTTGACGGCAGGCTGACCACGAATGCTTTCACCCGCTGCCTGGTTTAGCATCTCACGAATGGATTCCTTCGTAAAGCCACCTCAAGACGGAATGCAAAAAACGAACGTCAAAACAAGCAGAAGATGTCTGCTGTCCCTAGAGCGACCAACCGCGAGGTGTAATGGAGTGGGGTGAGACGTCGTTCCGCCACTCACTCCCGAGCGCAAAACTTCACAACCGGTCTGCAATAGCTAAAGGTGAGATGTCAAGCAAAGCACACCACCAACTTCGCCCGCCGCTGAGGTGCTCCGCCCCCGCCCCTGGAACAAGTCATGGTGCTCCACCACTGAGCTGCTCCGCCCTCCCCCCCCCCCCTCCTCCCCGTCCCTGGGGACAAGTCATGGCCCACCACCGCTGAGCTGCTCCGCCCCATCCTTGGACCAAGTCATGCGCTTTCCACCGCAGACGTCGCGACAAAAATCGCCGCTGAAAAGAGCGGCACGCAGCACGACACGCTCAGCCCCATAGCAGCGGCTCGTAACAGCGTGGCGCTGGCTCGCAACAGCCTGGGGCCGGCTCGCACAGCCTGGGACCGGCTCGTAACAGCCCGCGGCTGGCTCGTAACAGCCTGGGGCCGGCTCGTAACAGCCTGGGGCCGGCTCGCAGCAGCCTGGAGCAGGCTCGTAACAGCCTGCAGCGGCTCGTAACAGCGTGGCGCTGGCTCGCAACAGCCTGGGGCCGGCTCGCACAGCCTGGGACCGGCTCGTAACAGCCCGCGGCTGGCTCGTAACAGCCTGGGGCCGGCTCGTAACAGCCTGGGGCCGGCTCGCAGCAGCCTGGAGCAGGCTCGTAACAGCCTGCAGCGGCTCGTAACAGCGTGGCGCTGGCTCGTAACAGCCTGGAGCTGACTCGCAACAACCTGGAACTGACTCGTAACAGCCTGGAGCCGGCCAGTGTACGAACCTCGTCCGACCGGGGAATGCGCCGTCGCAAAGGAACCGCCGTTAGCGAACGTCACGGACAGCTCAGTTTATCGCGACCAGATCGGCACGACATGGGACGGGCGCAGGCGTGCTGCACCTGGTCGATGCGACCCGAGGATCGCTCCAGTGCCGCACAAGCTTATCAGCCCAGTAACCCGCTGCCCCGCTGCAGCGCCCGACTCAGTCCAATGCCCCGATCGGGGAAAACGTGGGCTTCTCCGGGTCGGTTCACTGCTCCCGGATCTGTGCTTTGGATCGGTTCACTGCTCCCGGATCGGTGCTTCGGATCGGTTCACTGCTCCCGGATCAGTGCTTCGGATCGGTTCACTGCTCCCGGATATGTGCTTCGGATCGGTTCACTTCTACCAGATCTGTCCTTCGGATCGGTTCACTGCTCCCGGATCTGTGCTTCGGATCGGTTCACTGCTCCCGGATCTGTGCCTCGGATAGGTTCACTGCTCCCGGATCGGCGCCATGCTCCGTGTGCCGGGTAACCCCGGATTGGTTACGCACCGCTGGTGGCTGCCGCGGGGCGTGCCGGCGAACGGCATTGTGCCGCGGTTGCGTAACAGCGCGACGTTACTCAACGAACAAATGCTCGCCGTTTGCACGTGCGCGCCGTGACGTCATGGCACGCGGCGGTGACGTCAGAGGGGCGAGTGGCCGCTCCGGTCGGCGCCCGCTGGAGGCCGACGTGCTCGGGGACGGAGGGAACCGCGCGTGGGCGAAACATGCGGTCGAGCGGAGGTGGCTGCGGGAAGGAGCCGGCGGCCGGGCAACGGGGCTGGACGGCGGTCCCGATCTGGCGGTCTGCAGCCGGGGTCTTCAGCCGGAGGGGGCTGCATGTGACGCGGCCTAAGCCAGGGGGCAGCCCGAGGTCTGCGAGGACTGCAGCGTTCCACGGCGACTTCCAGCTGGGGCAGCGAACCCAGCGTCGGCAGATGATTTATACGGGGTGCAGACGGTCGGAAGGCCGCTCTGTAACTCAGTCTCACCTAGCCCCCGATGTCTAGACGAGGATCACACACGTAGCCGCAAGCCGTCTAAATCGAGCCTGAACCTGAAAAAGAACCTGAATGTGCATCTGAACCTTAGCCAAGAACCGTCTGAAGTCGGTGAGGCTGGGCCACACTGCCTCACGTGTTGGAGAAGAGTTCACCGAGAGCCGAGTGGCCGTGAACCGAGCCTTCACCGGCGGAGCCCGGACGTCACGCGCTGGAGGCGAACGG